ATTTGCACACGAGGGACCTTAAGGACTTGAACTCGCCGTGCTCCAGGGGGCCGTCCCTGTTCGTCATCCTACGTACCTCGGGCCAGGGAGACGGAGCGAATCTCTTCCAGGGTGTACTCCTCCTGGTCCACGAGGACCCGGCCTCGAGAGCAGGGGACTCGACGTCCTGCAAAATCCACGGCCCCAGCATGGCAGTCCCGGTACTTACCGAACTTGAAGCGCACCTCCAGGGTGCTCCTGATCCAGGCCCGCGATTCAGCACTGGCGCTTCCTACGAAGAAATCGTCGGCCTCCTAACAGCATCACATTCAGCACCTCCCCCTGGCCTCCCCCTCCTCCCCCTCCTCCTCCTCCTCCTCCTCCTCCTTCTCCTCCTCATCCTCCTCCTCCTCCTCATCATCCCCCTCCTCGCCCTCCGCTCCTCGGGTCGCCTGCGGCACCAGGGGAAACCGTCCAGGAGAGCCCTGGCTGGTCGGTTCCTCTCGGCCACGCGCAGAGGGGGGCAGGGGGGAGGGGGGAAGGCTTCTTAGAAGCACCCCTGCTTCTTGGAAGGCGCCGGCCTAGACGCAGGGCCGGGGCCTTCTGAGAAGCAGGGTGCTTCTAAGAAGTCTTCCCCCCTCCCCCCACCCCCCTCTGCGCGCTGCCAATCCTCGACTTCAGAGATGGAGGGGAGCCCGGTGCGCTCTGGACCCAGTTGCGCAACAAACGATCCGGCTCGAGACGCCCCCCTGCGAGGGGCTCCCAGAGGTCCTGGCTAAGACGGCGGAGGAGGCTCGGGTCGGGGTTCCGGCTCTATTGACCCCAGAGGGTCATGACCTCCCCGCGAAGTCCTGGGTCCTGGGTGGAGGTCCGCCTGGGCAGCCTCGTGCCGCGCACTCGGGGGCGGGAGCTCTGTCTTCTTCTGCACGTCGACCGCAGTGACTCTCCTGGCCCGGGAGGCCTGGAAGAGCAAAGCAGGACTGAGAGGCCCTGGAGGATGCCAGTCGTAACAGACTACCTCATCAGGCATCGGGAGCCATCAGGGATCCTCTCTGGCAGGGCGGGGATCCGCTCCTTCCCGAGGCCCCCCAGGGGAGCTGCCCCAAGGGAGCGGGCTTCGGCATGGCACACATTGTTCATTGCTAATTCTTCGAAGGTCCTTTTGACTGTTGGGGGGGCCAAGATCCTTTCATTTCTACTTGTTCTATCCTGGGCCTCTTCCTGGCCACTACGGGGCCAGGAACAATTGGAAACGAGCACAGTTAGAAATGAGCACGATATAGAAATGAAGGACGTGTCTACGCGGGCAAGATTCGTATCCATACCCGTTGCGTCTTGGAGTTCCGGGCTCCCTTCCCCAGAAGCCAGAGGCGCAGTGGACACGGATGAAAAAGCCTGGCCCCCAGAGGCTAGAGTTCTATCCATGTCCACTGCGCCTCGGCCTTTGGGCGCCCCTTCCCAGAAACTCCAAGACGCAGTGGATATGGATACTTGTGAGGTTCAAAACTCGGATAGCACGGCGCCCGAAGGGCGTGGAAAAGCTTGTCGAAGCACTTTGGAAGGACCTGGACAGCGCTTCCGAAGGATCTTCTGGAGAGCATCCAGGCACTCGTATTGGGAAACGCTTCGAAAAGCTCTCGGGACCCGCTGCAACCTCAAACCAGCCGCAGCGGCGCTGGAAGACGGAAGCCGGAACGACCTCCCTGGCTACCGCATGCGGCTCCGGCTTTCTAATACGAGACCTTCCTTTAACTCTCCACGAGCTATCCGGGAGCAAGTCTTGCCTGCAGCACTCGAAGGAAACAAAAAGCACATAAGCATAACATGTGGCGGTCCGCGCGGATTTCTTGGACCCCCCTCCCTGGCGCGCTCCGGGGGTCCAGCGCGAGTCCGAGGAATCCGCGCGCGGAGCGCCAGAAGTTCCCTGCTCGCGTGGTTCTCTCTCCCTCTGTAGGCACGGGGCCGGGGCCGCTCCCCTGGGTGGGGGGGCGCCGAGGCGCCCGGGGCGGGCCGCGCCTCGCCAGGAGCGTCAGGCTGCGGAGGCCTGGCTCCGGGCGGACGGCGCCCCGCCCCGAGGATCCTCCGCCGCCTCGTCGGGCCGCGCGCGTGGGGGCAGTGCACTGGTCGCCGGGAGGCCGCGGGGTGCGTCCAGGCGCCGGGCTTCTTGGGGTGAAGTCGGGCGTGACCCTCTGCGGGGGTCGGGTTGACCCAAAAGGTCACCACCCACCAAACTTCCCCAACCCAGCCCGAAGGCTCAGATTTACCTTCGATTTCCAGTGCACATGGGGGGGGTCGGGAAACATCGAAAAAACACATGTGGCACCCTCACCCCCCCCCCAACCCGAAATTCGGGTCTTCGGGTTGGGTTGGGGTGGTCTGGTAGGTAGTCAAAAGGGGGTCCAGCGACAAGGGGGTGGTGCAAGAGATGTGGTGCGATCGATTTGTGGGGTTACCGTACATCTGGGGCGTGCAAGACGTTCAGGGGCGCAAAGGTACTGCTGGATTTTCCCGTGCAGCACGCTACTTGCAGTACAATGCAATCCAATTCTCTGGCGCAATACGTTTGCAATACTATTGCCCCCAATCTATTGCACCACCCCCTTTCAGCTGGACCTTTTTTGGGGTCACCCAGGAGGAGAGACGGGTCAGGGAAGGATTTGTCGTGCTCTTTTTGGGCTATTTGTTTGTGCATCTTTTGACAATCTTTCGCTTTTCTTCCAAAATCCGCCTGTAGGAGGACATGTCCGACCTAATTCTTGGGGCGTGGCGGCAGGATCAGAGGCGACGATAGGGGCGAATGGCCCAGGGGAGATCAATACATGTATTCAGGTGCGCCGATGATCTATGTCTTCGAAAAGGCTCCCGGGCGAATGCGTTTACTGCCCGCCCCGCCCCTGGGCTATTCGCCCCTGTCGTCGCCGCCGACAGGAGGGCCGCACCGATCCGGCGCGGCGGCGGCGCCTGCGCGGGCGCTCCAGGGCAAGCGCCCTCCGGGTGCCTCTGCTCTTGGACCCCAGGGGCCCCCGTGCGGTGCGCGGTGCCCCCGAGAGGGCGCACATGGTGTCTCTTTGGTGCCCTGTGGTGTCACCGGGGGGGGGGCATCTCTTCCTCCTCCTCCTCCTCCTCCTCCTTCCCCTCGTGTCGCTCCTGGGCGACGCCTCCGTATCCATTTTGGCTCAAGATGTGTTGTTCCACAGGGGAACACGTGGATACCGGTAGTCCGCGGCCAGTCTTCTTTCCTTGCCCTGGTCAGCCCCAGGGTGAACGTCGAGGTGGTCCGCCCCGCCTTGGCGCGTCTCTCCCAGTCCAAGCGTGGTGCCGCAGCCGCCAGCGGCTACCGTGCTCCGCGGCCCGCGCAAGACACATTGGAGTTGTGGGCAGTGCTGCCGCACGGAGACTTGGGCATCCCGCGTCCGGTGCCTCCGTGGCCGCCAGGCTCCGTCCTTCATCGTATCGCGTCCGCGCCAGAAACACAAGGAGGCTGAGGGTGCGGACGGAGGCGGTCGTCGTGCAGCGCCCAGGAAGTCATCGGCTGGGGGCGCTGGCATCCCGACGGAACTGTCCGCCTGGATGCAGGCCATCGAGCGGCGTCTCGCGCCGTCTGGTGCCGTGTGGCCCAAGCCTCGGAGGAAGACGCCCCCATGGCAGTCGGGTGATGACGCCAGTCCAGGTGCAGGCGGGAGCGACTCACAGAAGTTGCAGAGCAGAAAGATTGGAGAGCGCATCAGCGAGTCAGAGGGGACCCTCAAGAAGTGTCCTGCAGCTGATGAACACAACAAGGACCTCAGAGGTCCCATCGAGAAGCAGTTAGAGGAGCTGCGTGCTGAGAAGCGCGCGCTGTTGTCCCCCCAGGCCCTTCACCGTCGTGCGCAGCA